GATTCTTCCAAGAACTCCGATTCTTGATTTGGCAATCCCGAGCCTGTTTTCAATGCGTCGCCAAATCTCGTCCTGAAGCGAAATCAGTTTCTTGATCATGAATATTATTCTCGTCCTGTCTTTCCTTCTCAATTTGGCTCCTTCAGTGTTTCATAAATCCGACAACATTTCTTCGTCGCCCCTCCGGCGTCCGCTGCCCATTCTCCCGCCAAGCTTCAACTGGCCCTATACGTAACTCACTCCAACGGCATAACAGAGTACGTATCGTCGCAATAGAAAATAATATAAATAATTTTCTAGGAAAATCTAAATATCGCGATGATTTGACCATTTCGTCCAATACGAAGCGACGGAAAAAAAATAATTCATCGCAGTATTTACGACGACGAGACACAGAGCAATAATTTTGGACGTCGCAAAAACCTCATTTTCGTCGCCGGTGTTGTGTTTCGGGCCTTTGGCCTAGCGTATATAACTTAATATAAAATATACAAAACACAATCATTTAAACCTACTTAATTGTATTTTCTAATTATCAGACTTTGGGTGTAGGAAAATCTTAAATAATTTCAAATATTTCTAAATAAATATATATATATATTTTTTTATTTGTTATCTTGAAAGTTTGATAACTTTATAAGCCTTTGTTTAATCGATACAAATAGTGACCCTGATCTTGCAGATATTTCGATTCCAGCGAACGATGACGCTATATCTTCAATCCGCTTAATTCTTAACAAATTAGTCTTCGCAATTTGTGAGGGCCGTTCTAGCTATATAAGAAATCCTTGATTAATAATAAGATAAATCACTTTTCCTTCGAAAATCCGATAGATTTATGGAATGGTTGATTTTTTGATTTATGAATTTTTTTAAATAGATAAAAATAACTGGGGATATTATGTGATTAGTTAGTATTCCAAATAAAAGTTGGTATTCTAAATATCCGATTCAAGTAGACAAAGAGATGGTTGAATCAAAATAATTTTGTTTAAAATTCGACAGAGGGCAATATGAATGTGCTATCATGTTCAAGACTTATTTTCTATGAGCTTATGAGCTACTTCTCAATTTAAAAATAAGCCAGAAGCTAGAATGCATTTTTTACTCTGAGCTTGCACTAATTCACAATGCTTTCTGAACTTGATTAAGCTGCCAAACTAATATATATATATATATATATATATATATATATATATATATATATACAATCACACTTATTAAATACAAGAACACTAAAATATATATGAAAGAAAATAAAAATTTGATCATTAATTACACAATCATATGTACAAAGCCAAGATCAAATACATAAAATACTTAAAAAAACTGGTATTCATAAATCAAGACCAGAAAGAACCATCAAAGAACTGCAATATATCCTCCTCCTGATCACCACCGTCGTTTTCCCAGTACTGTAGCTGCGGCGGCAGAACGACGTCCTCCACCACCACCGGTGCGGCCGCCGTATAGTAGTGCTGCGGAATCATGATATCTGATGAGGGCCCGCAGTAGTGCCGATCATCAAAGTTGGTGGCATCATCGCTGATCTCTTTCAAACAAGAATCAATTTCTTGCTCGTCAAAATCCCAAGCGGACAAATCGCGGGCCGGATCGAAACCTAATATTTCCGGGTCAAAATCCATCATCATCACGACAGAATTATTCTGATGATTATTATTCGAAGCGAAATCAGTTTCTTGATCATCATGAATATTATTCCAAGTGCAGAAATCTTCATGAGGCGGATCGAGACCGAATCTTTTCGGTGCATGAGCAAAATCCATCATCACCACAGAATTATTCTGATTCACAGATGAAGAAGAGGAAGCAGTTTCTTGATTACGATCAAGATTTCCAAAATCCATCGACGAGAATTCTTGTTTCATAGTCGATTCTTGATTCTTCAAGAAATCGATTCTTGATTTGGCAATCCGAGCCTTGTTTTTCAATGCGTCGCCAAATTCCCTCAACTGGGATTCCGTCAAAGAATCCAAGAACTCGTGTCGAATCGGAAACTTGGACTCCAAGTTACTCTTACGCAGTTTCTTGAGTTCGTCTTCGACTGTCTTCGTCCTGTCACGAAAGAAATCAGAAAGACCAAAGGTACTTACTGATTTCGGGGAATCGTATGATTCAACGATTCGTCGGACTTTTTCGGGATCTCGAGGCCAAATATCGGGTTCTTGATAATTACTATTATCATCAAAGATGATCATGCATGCGGTGACGTCACATAGGGTAGTCAACTGATGCAATTTGTTGATCAAACCATCTTTTCTTTTCTTGAAACTCAATCTTCTTGATTTCTCATTGCGCATCAATTCCAACTTTAGTTTCCCACGACCCATTGTTATTGAATGAGCGAAAGAGAGAGAGAGAGAAAGCGAGAGAGAGAGAGAAAAGAAAGCGAGAGAGAGAGAAAAGAAAATAAATCTGATTTAATTTGTTAAAGAAACGGGAGATATTATATTTATGGTATAATTTAGGAATTAATTTTTTTTAATAACTATTTACATATATCAATTAAGTTATTGAAATTTATTATACCAAATATAAAATTAATTTTGTAGACTGTTAATTAGTATTAAATGTCAGTAATATATGAACTAAAATAAAATTCAAAATAGTTTTCAGAATTAAAAAATATTACAGATTCAAAATAATAATATATTGTTAGAATAAAACACATTTTTATTAATATTTTATAATAATTGATTTATCATTTAGAAATTATTTAATAATAATTGTGCAAAATATAAGCAAAGTTGTTGGAGGTGCATGGGGTTAAGAGTGTAGTGCTAAAATGCTATTTGTGTGTTACATTATAGATAGAGACAACCGATTTTAGACAAACTGTTGGAGATGGCCTAACATGTAAAATGCATAATAATGTTGTAATAAGTATGATTTTCGGAAAAACATTGGAAATTGCAGAATTATTTTTGAAAATTAAAAATAGGATCGGATATCGGAATGTACCATATAACCGGAATCAGAATTTTCAAAACTCAAAAAGAAAAATATTCTCCAGAACTCAAAAATTTCAGATCAGAATTGACAGAAATCAGAATTTCCAAACTTTGTAACATAATGCGTGTGAATACCTCAATGTATCCTAATTTCAGTTCTTCGATTTTTGGCATATAATGATTAATGTTTATTTATTTTCTTTTTTAATCAATCTCCTATCAATTAACATAAATAAAAGAAAAAGGTTAAATTACAATCATTCAGGGTCAACGTCAAATTACGAAAACCGCATCATGTTTGGATAATTACAACGGCCCTATGAATCTTCTTACACATCCGCTCTTGCAGTGTCTAATTTAGTGGAATCTTCTATCTTATGTGGAATATTCTCGAGTTTGTAACTATTTTACTCCATGTGAACTTCACGTTTTGAAACAAGGTAATCATAGGATGTGTCTCTTGGCTTGTAAATATCAGGTTGTGGTGCATCAAAAACTGCATTTATGCACAAAACAAGTACAAGCTAAAGAATATTCTACAAAATCTAGAAGATTCTATCAAATTTAACACCACAATAATGGACGTGTAAGAATATTCATAGTTAAGGGATTGTTGTAATTACTAAAACAAAAGGATTTTTTATTACCGTTAGAGAAGCGCTTGAAGTCATATTTTGAAGATGTTTCGCAATACACAAAGGTCAAATCGGATTTCATGCAGATAGAGACACAAGAGATGCACGAGAAGTCTCTTTTGCTTGCGCAACGAGATATTTCCAAGGCTGAACTGCAAGAGAGTGAGCACGTTGAGGCGGTGAACAACGTGAAGGCTGAAATTCTTGAAATCACCAAGCAACTAGAAGAGATGAGAAACAAGAAAGAATCAGCAAGTTCATCCCTTGGTAAGGTCGAAGAAGATTTGGCCAAGATGCAGGAGGTTGTGG